GTGCTATATGGGTCTGAACATCCTTCATCAGTGCATCAAACTTTGCCTTAAAGACAAGACAAATTATATCTAGACGGTCCTCAGGGTTGAGGTTCCTTTCAGAAAGGAATCGACTGATTTCAGGCCACTTGAGGTTGCAAGTGATAGTTATGAAGATATCAGCATAACCGGTACAACGACAAATGGTAATCGCATGCAACGACAAAGGGTGCACTTCAATTGGCAGCCAATAAAATTCTTATCCATCATTTATATTTTCTTTGATTAGTGTACAATACGATTGATATGTTTTTCTTCTCCGAATTTGAGATCAACATCTACTCGATTAGTTATTACTAAGCTCAACAGCCATGTATTCGCATGCAAAATATGAACCAATGCCAGATCTGGTGATAAGGTTCTTATTCGTATGCTCAAAGTCATACCATCCAATTTGAGTGTACCTTTCAAGTTTCAGTGCAGGCAGTTTCTGCTCATGGTTTCCTATGCTATGACAATCAATAAGAGTCAAGTACAATTCTGTCGCACATCAGCTTACTACTGAAGAGCCCTGTATTTAGCCATGATCAATTGTACGTGACGCTTTCTAGAGTTACGAGTCGAAGGGGTTTGAAGATAATGATTTGTGGTGATGGAGATTCTGACAATTAAAAAACCACGAATGTTGCACATAAAGAAGTGTTTAATAATATTTAATTTTAAAAAAAAAAACATTTTTTTCGATGATTATTTTATGATTTTTATTATTGTTTATAATTTTTTATTATTTTATTATTTATCATATAGCTTTCTGTGCAAATGCACATGTTACAACTAGTATTAGTGATTGGGCCAAAACAAACAATTAAATCTTAGATGGAAATAAAAGGTGACAGATATATGGTTAAAACCAAAGACATGTTTTCTTGATCTTAATTGCTCATAATTATTTGAAGCAATCTCATCATAAATAGGATTTAAAAAAAAAGGTTTACGCTTCGAGCAGTTTTGCTATAGAGTAATCGGATGACACAGCTTATAGAGTCATTCACACTTATTCGCAAATAGTGTATTGACATTTATCCTATAATAGATGTACTTTGAACAAGTGTCAATATATTAAGTGATGTATAGCTCCATAAGAAAACCATTCGATAACTCCATAGAATTTTTTACGCCTCGGGTTCCTTTTGATTAAAAGGTACTGTACGTAAGTAATGCAACAATAGCAAATTTATTAACATAATGGATGAGGACATTCATTCAGCAGTTGAAATCATAGTTTTTAAACCCGGCCCGGTGATTGACCCGGGAAGGTCTCCGGGTCACCGGGTCACCGGGTTAATTGCTGAACCGGATAATTGATTTTACAATTTTTTAAATTATATATATATAGTATTTTGTCATATAAATATACATAAAATAACAAAATTAAATGTTTTGTATGTAAAATTTGTATATTAAAGAGATAATAATATTTTTTTAATAATAAATATTTACCATATAAATATATATACATAGTTTTATTTTTAAAAAAATAATAAAAAAAAATTTTAAAATATATGTAGGGACCGGGTCAACCGGGTTGACCCGGCCGGGTCAATGCCC